TATGTGCCAGATTTTCCTGGTAAGCAGTAGCAATGACGATGACGATGACGGAGCTGGTGAATCAGTCCTTGGGTCTTTTGTGGATTATGTGTTGCAAAATCAACAATTGTGGCATATATGGGAGACATTATATAATACAAACTATCAATTACATCTGGAGAATTTGTTAATCTTAACAGCTGGAAAAGGAAAAGGTTTTTAAGTACCTAATGTGTGCCTGTCAACATACTAGAAGCACCATATCATTTCATTTAATCTACACAAGTCCAAAAATAGAGTTCCACTTTTCAGATGAGAAAATTGAGGCTGAGAAAAGTTAAATAATTCCCCAAAGTCTCGCTGCTGAAGTCCTGGCACACAAGTTTGAACACAGGTCTCCAACATCAAATTGTGGATCTGTTCTTTCCTACTCGCAGTGTTCTTTAAGTAGGTTCTTAGGAAATCCCCATATTTTATAAAGGAGTACTTAGGTGGTGATTATTTGTATTAGAAACAGAGTTCTATGTACCACAGAGTTTCTTTCAAGATTTCCAGAGATTCTTAACTATTGAATGTATAATAATATAGAAAAAGTTAAGACTAACATGTAAAATGCTAGCAATGGGAGGACAGCAAAAAGTCAAAGATCATTTGTTTATTTATTCATCATACATTAGTTAAGCACCTACTTAAAAAGTATATAACAAATGGTGGGAGTATCCAGTGAGCAAAACCAGATGTAGTCTCTACCTTTCTAGAGTTTATATTATAGTGAGGAAGATATTACTCATATTCTTTCCTAAATATGTGTAAAATTACAACAGTGAGAAATACTGCAAAGGAGAGATACTTGATGTTATCAGAGTGTATAAGAATGCCTAACCTCATCTGGGTGTCCTATAAAAAACCTTCCCTGGTAAAGAAGGAAGTCCAAAGGATGACTAGAATTAGCATAGATTGAAGGAAAGGAGGGAGTATGCCAGGCAAAATGGACTGTGTATAAAGGACCTGTGGCAGAAGGATAACATGGCAGGTTTGAGGAGCTGAAAGAAGGTCATTGTGCTAACATGGACAGCATGAGAAAACATGATACTGAGAAAACATGAAAACCGAAGAGGTAGGTACAGACTGTAGCACACTGCCAGTTTGGTGGCTTGCCTTTTATTGCCAGGAACAGTTAGAAGCCACTGAAGGATTTTAAGTAAAGATCAGATCTGACTTGTGAAAAACTCATAGGAAGAGAAAGTGAATCATAAGGTAGAAAAGAATTTAGAGGGGCTAAATAAGACACTGTTAAAGTAATCCAGGAAAAAATGGTCTGCCTTTAAAAGTAAATGTTAATTGAGTCTCTTCCTCTCACTATTATTACAGTTTCCTAATTTAAATGAGTGTATTTGAAAGATAACCTGTAGGCATAGTTCCAGAACTCTAGGTCATGTATGGTCTGGTAAAACACCAAAAGACCAGATTAGTTCTTTAGGGGGTTTAGAATTTAACCAGGCATTGTGCTAAGCTTATCTCAGAGGTAAATGTTTTTATCCTTATTTTACAGACGATTAAAGCTAAAACTCAGAGAATTGACTTAGTCAGTCATCTAGATTAGTGTCAGAGGAATCTTTTTTATCTGCCTTAGGTTGAAGTGTGGGGATCATATTAAGCATTCAATAAATAATTGAGTCAAATTAAATTTAAATATCTTTAACTGTTGTTTTTTGAATGCCTTTTAACTATCTTTGCTGTGTTGTTGTATAGAGGAAAAGTAAATTAGATAGCAGTGATTCTGTAGTACGTTTAAAACCTGTTCTTATTATGTTCACTCCTTGCTAATGCCACATATTTTTGTTCTAAGGCTCAGCTTCCCATCTGTTTGATAAAAAAACAAAAGCGTGATGACAATGACCAGATACTTGCCTATAGAATAATACCTGACTTATTCATAATTTCTCATTGTCAGTAGAGACCTGAAAATTCAAAATGTTAAGGCTTTGTGCAGCTCACCCAAAGAACTTGATTTTCTCAAATTGGTTAAATTTTTATATTATTTATTTTTTACTGCAATCAGGATCATATAGCAAAGTAAATGATAAATAAATGTTTACCAAATGTATGGATACTGTGTTTCAAAAAGTGGTAGGCATATTGAATAAGATGATAAGGAAAATGATCTAACTAGTATGGAAACATGATCTCAGTTCAGTTCAGTTCAGTCACATCCGACTCTTTGAGACCCCATGGACTGCAGCACACCAGGCCTCCCTGTCTATCACCAACTCCCGGAGTTTGCTCAAACTTGTGTTCCATTGAGTCAGTGATGCCATCCAATCATCTCATCCTCTGTCTTCCCCTTCTCCTCCGCCTTCAATCTTTCCCAGCATCAGGGTCTTTTCAAATGAATCAGTTCTTTGCATCAGGTGGCCAAAGTATTAGAGTTTCAGCTTCAGCATTAGTCCTTCTAATGAATATTCAGGACTGATTTCCTTTAGGATGGACTGGTTGGATCTCCTTGCAGTCCAGGGGACTCTCAAGAGTCTTCAACACCACAGTTCAAAATCATCAATTCTTCGGCACTCAGCTTTCTTTATAGTCCAACTCTCACAACCATACATGACTACTGGGAAAACCATAGCTTTGACTAGATGGACCTTTGTTGGCAAAGGAATGTCTCTTCTTTTTAGTATGCTGTCTAGGTTGGTCATAACTTTTCTTCCAAGGAACAAGCATCTTTTAATTTCATGGCTGCAGTCACCATCTACAACGATTTTGGAGCCCCAAAAAATAAAGTCTCTCACTGTTTCCATTGTTTCCCCATCTATTTGCCATGAAGTGATGGGACCAGATGCCATGATCTTAGTTTTCTGAACGTTGAGTTTTAAGCCAACTTTTTCACTCTCCTCTTTCACTTTCATCAAGAGGCTCTTTAGTTCTTCTTTGCTTTCTGCTGTAAGGGTGATGTCATCTGCATAACTGAGGTTATTTATATTTATCCTGGCAGTCTTGATTCCAGCTTGTGCCTTCATCCAGCCCAGCGAAGTTTCTCATGATGTACTCTGTATGTAACGTGATCTGGGCTACTATTAACCAGAAAAATCTGGTTATCTTTCAGGTATTTATAGGTCACTCCACTAAAATATTATTGCCCCAAAATCTGATGTATTCCAACTGCTCAGTTGGACTGACCCGTATCTCCTTACCAGATTCTTGATTCCTTTATAATGTTATGCTTACCTGTATCAAGGAAGAAACCACTAGATGTTACTTTGAATTGTTTTATATTGCCAACAATAATGTTTTAATCATGTTAGTAAATTTAATTATAGTAGGAATATTTTATATTTTACCTCCATATTGGGTTACTAAAAGTTTGTAGGTCAGTAAGTGGAAATTAGATTCAGAGTTTTAAAACACTTATTCAACAAGCATTTATTGAGCATTCCCTGTGTTTAAAGACAGTTATCTAGGATAATTAGGGAAATAACTACTTAAGTAGGATAACCAGGGAATTATAGAGAAAAATAGAATCTGACTTTTACCCACAGAAGTTGCAGCCTAGTTTACCAAACAATATATATGACTAAACCTAATAAACAGCTTGATATATTTTTTTGAAGTAGAGACAGAATTTTCTGGGACCTCATAGGATGGAGTCATTAATATTGCATGGGATAGATCAGTGAAAGGAAGATACCATGTAAGCTGAATTTTAAAGAAGACACGTTTCACTAGGTAGAAGTTAAAGGACAGCCCAAACGGACTTTGAAATGTGAAAGTACAGCTGATGTTTAGGCACTGATGGATGCCTTTTCTGGTTCTAGACCATAGGCAGCTTTGATGAGAGATGAGCAACAGCTGAAAAGGGATGATTAAGGCCCAAAGGGATTTGATTGGTTTACTAAGAAGTTTGTACTTTATTCTGTAGCGGTGTATTATATAAACTTTGTGGGACCATCCAGGAGGAATCATTAGGAAGTTTTGATCAGGGATGAAGGCATGAAAATGATGATGGCAGCATCTGAAATTTATCGACTAGTTATTAGGTGTATGCAGGGAACCATTGTGTACTTTATTGGAGTCTTATATTTAAAATGAAGAAACCAAGACTTAGGACACATTGTCACCTGCCCAAGACACAGAACTAGTGAGTCATGGAACATGACTTTGAGCTCATGTCCAAACTCAGATTTCTGGGATAGGATGGATTACATTGCAGCCTGTAGGCAGGAAGACCACTTAGGAAACTACAAGTTTAGAGGAAAGGAGATTCAGTTACAGGCTGGGACTAGGAAAAAAGGGGATAAGACCCTAGGTACTTTTCTTTGGGTACATTTCTGTAAATGATGGTTAAATTCACTAACCAAACCATTAAAACCTTTTAAATCCATAATGAACCTAAATTGAATTACCAGTGCAATAGTTATTTCATATATACTTAGCCAACATATATGACCTTGCATGGGCTTCCAAGATTACAATAGTGGTAAAGAATCTGCCTGCCAATGAAGGAGATGAAAGGGGTGCGGGTTCAATTCCTGGATCCAGAAGATCCCCTGGAGGAAGGCATGGCACTCCAGGAGTATTCTTTCCTGAAGAATCTCATGGAGAGAGGAGCCTAGCAAGCTATGGTTCATAGAGTTGCACAGAGTTGGACATGACTGAAGCAACTTAGCATGCACACAGTGGCCTCCAGTTTAGAAGCGTTATGAAGTTGATATTATTAAAGCTGAGTCTACAAGGATGTGCAATTTATAAGAGAAGGTAGATGAAGGAGCCCACATTCCCCAGTGAAGGAAAAGGAAATACAAAGACACAGAGGTCTAAAAGTTCATGGAGAATTAAGTGAGTAAATTCAGATGTTAGGAGTCATACTGTGAAGAGCCTCATCTAATAGGTTATGGAGTTTACATTGTGGATATTGAGGTTTTATTACTTAAATTAGATGTGTTGATTTAAGTATTATATGCAAGGCTCTGTGCTAAGAGTTACTATGAAACTGTTTATTTATGTTCTTTTTCCTCTATTTACAGGCTGCTATATGGCAAGCACTAAACCACTATGCTTACAGAGATGCAGTTTTCCTAGCAGAGCGACTGTATGCAGAAGGTTTGTAGTCTATTCCTTTCCAAGAACTATAAAAGAATAAAATACATGGAATTCCATCACTTCTTATGACTGTAATAAGATTCTGGGTATCACTTTTTTTTTTCGGCTCTGCCTCAAGGCATGTGGGATCTTAGTTCCCCAACCAGGGATGGAACTGCGCCCCATGCATTGAAAGCACAGAGTTTTAACCCCTGGACCACCAGGAAAGTCCTGTGGGTATTACTCTTGTTTTATCTTTATGATTGACACTAGTTCATAAAAATTTTTTCCCAGTATCTGTGTAGCTTTTTATATGCTACTTTTAGTAACTATGTAGACTTGCTTTGGGTTTTACCCTGTGGTGTACTTAATCATGTTCCAGTCTTTAGGTACTTTATTCTTTTTTTTTTTTTTAGAGTCTATATTCTGTGGTTTAGAGCATGGATTTTGAGCCTTCAGCCTTAGTACAAACCCTAACCCTTAAACATGCTGTAGTATACCTTGGGCAAGCTAATTAACATTTGAGTATTTCAGATTTCTCATCTATAAAATAAAGGTAATTATTGTCTCTTGGAATTGAAAAATGAAATAATATATTTAAAGCACTTGGCACGACCTTCTGGCACTGTAATAAATTCAACTTCAGCTGGTATTAGTGAGGTATTTTTTGTCTTTGGTTATTATAATCTTCCTAAGATGCTTCCCGGGTGATACTAGTGGTAAAGAACCTGCCTGCCTACTCAGGAGACATAAGAGATGTGGATCTGAACCCTGGGTCAGGAAGATACCCTGGAGGAAGAAATGGCAGCCCATTCCAGTACTCTTGCCTGAAGAATCCCATGGACAGTGGAGCCTGGCAGGCTACAGTCCATGGGTCTCAGAGTCAGACACGACTGAAGTGACTTAGCACGTTAGCAAAAATGCTAAGATAATTATGTACAGCTTTGTCATTTTCCTTGTGTCATATACTCTAGGATAGAATTTACAAGTCAAAGTAGGTGTCATTAGTGGCTAACTCGTGTCCGACTCTTTTTGCGACTCCATGGACTGTATAGCCTGTCGGGCTCCTCTCTCCATGGGATTTCCAGGCAAGAATACTGGAGTGGGTTACCATTTCCTTCTCCAGGGAATATTCCTGACCCAGGGATCGAACCCGTGTCTCCTGCATTGGGAAGTGTATTCTTTACCCACTGAGGCAGTAGGAAAGTCCCATACAAGTCAAAATGCGTGAGCAGTTCTACAACAATTTACTTTTGCCTGGTTGATAAGCCAGCAGAGACAGTTGTGATAATCACTGTGTCACCAATAGTATAAGACTTCCTTCACAGCCCTATCAGTATCAGATTTACCATAATGTGTTTTTGCTTACTAGAAATTTGTGAAGTATTTTGTCTTCCTTTTTATAATTCTGAAGGATGCTGGGTATTTTCTCAAGTGTTTTACATTTATTCCTGTTTCTGTGGACTCTTTGTTTATTGCATATTTGCCCCAGATTGTTTGCTTTTTAATCTTAATTCTGTTAATTTTTATAATCTAATCTTTTAAATTTTATTTAGTAGCTTTATCATTTAAACTTTCTCCTATTGCTTCAGTAGCTGGAAGAATTGTCATTTTTCTATAACTCAAGAAATATATAGTTCTTGGTAATTTAAAAAGTTTTAAAAAATGTATCATAGTGTTATTACTTAATTTAGTCAGTGTTATTTATTAAATGCTTTTTTCCCTCCCACGTGGTATTTTACGTGGTTTTGTGTTAAATTTTTTTTAAATGTTCTACTCTGTTCCCAGAAGCTTTCCTTTCTTTCATTAGTTGATTTTCTATTTTTAACTCAATATCATACTATTTTATTATTAACACTTTATTATATTGTCTTTTAACATCTAATAAGGCCTGTCCCGTCATTTTTTTTCCCCTCATTTCATTCTTTGGTAGGAATACCCTTTTTTTAATTCTTTTATTTTACATGTGTATTTTATTAATGTTCTGAAATTTCACAAATTTTGTGTGTGTGTGTGTGTGTAATAAAGTTTTATTAAAGTATAAAGGAGATAGAAGGAGTACCCCCCTGCTAGTCTTCAGCTGGATGTTATATAGTCACTGAAAGTGAAAGTGAAGTCGCTCAGTTGTGTCCGACTCTTTGCGACTCTGTGGACTGTAGCCCACCAGGCTCCTCCGTCCATGGGATTCTCCAGGCAAGAATACTGGAGTGGGTTGCCATTTCTTTCTCCAGGGGATCTTCCCAACCCAGGGTTCGAACCCAGGCCTCCCGCATTGTAGTCAGACGCTTTAACCTCTCTGAGCTACCAGGGAAGCCCAGTCACTCAGTCATGTCTGATTCTGTGACTAACCCCATGGACTGTAGCCTACCACGCTTCTCTGGCCATGGGATTTTCCAGGCAAGAGTGCTGGAGTGGGTTGCCATTTCCTTCTCCATGAAATTTCACAAATATTTTGATCAGTGCTCTCCTTGAAACCATATAAGTCTATGAATTAATTTAGGAAGTATTATTATCTTACTATACTATAACTGTCTTAACTAGAAACAGTGCTGCCTTCTTTTTACTCCAGTGTTTAACTCAATTTTCCCACTTATTGAGTAACCTCCCATTGGATTACTTACCAGAAGTTTTTTTTATGATTGTAGGTAAGTTTTATTTTTGTGTGTCTGCATGAACTAGTAATGGAAACTTTCTGCTCAATTATATGATTTTACTTCGTAAAAGTAAAGTGCTTAGTAACTGAACTGCAGGCATAGAAGGTAAATATTAGGGGTTTGCTAGACATGTGTCAAAAAAGGACAAGGGATGAGAATATTAAAGAATATAGACAAGATGTGGGCCAGGAATTGTAAACTACAGCGGGAAGTTAACACAGGGATTGATAAATAAGAGGATTTAGGAGAGGTACTAGAAATCCAGATGAAATTGAATTGGTAGATGTATGGAAATAACTTAGGAGAGGAGGACTGTAAATGAGGTGCAGAATTCTTTTATTAATGAAGCAGAATGTCTTGAATTTAGTAACCAAGAGTTAAAAGGAAAAGATATGAATCTCACCAGCAGGGGATTTCACAAAAGAGCAAAGGATGGTACTTGGAAATAAAATAGTTGGGAGAAGCAAGGAGGAAACCAAGCTTACCTTGGGACAGGAGGGAATTAGCATCCCTTTGAGAGTGCTGTCAGGTCCTCAGGGAAGGATAGGAGTTCTTGAGGAAAGTTGGGAAGATCTATGGAACAGAAGTCTTAGGTCCAAATGAAAAGATTAAGAAAAGTGAGAGCCTTACAAAGAAGGTAATACAACAGATTGCCCAACTCTGCAAATAAAAGCAAGGTTTATTGTGGATAATCTACTTACATATATTTTCATTGATACCTAAGCAGCCCTCATGTTTTCCTGACTTATACTTTCTTTTTTAATTTGGTAATGTTAGTTTAGGCAGTTATTATTTATGGATTTCTTACTGTGTACTGGGTACTCTGAGTACTTAAAAACTTATTCTTTATTTAGTCTTCAACAGCTCTATAAAAGAGACATTGCTATTACCATTTTAGAAATGAAGAAACTAAGACAATTGTTCACCAGGTTTTTACCTGTCTTAATGATTAATGGGTCAGGTGTAGAAATTCATTGAGTACAGTGCTTTTTGTAAATTTGGCTTAGTTGAAGAGAACTTAATCAGAGTAAAAGATTCAGCATCTGATTCTCTTCTCTTCTCTTAGCTATTATAGTGAGAGCCCAAACTCACAGAAATATGTGACTGCAAATGGCAGCATTAAAAAAAAAATTATTTCCAGTTATGTTAAGGTCATCATTGAAGGAAGTTGTCCAAATACTACTAAAAATATGGCATATTATATCATTTTTAGGCCATTACTAGTGGAAAATTTTATAAATATATCTTGTCGCTAGAAATTCAAGTCACTTTGTCATATGGGGGGACAAAAAGGATATCTGGCCCATTGGCCTATTCTTTTACTGTCATAGTTAAATTGTTAATGATGAAAAAGATAATGCTATTTTTAAAAAATATTCTCTTTTATTTTTATTTATTTATTGGCCATGCATTGCCACTTGCAGGATCTCAGTTCCCTAACCAGGGATTGAACCCTAGACCACAACAGTGAAATCCCAGGATCCTAACCACTAGGCACCAAGGAACTCCTAATGCTATTTTTTTTAATCATTATAGTTTTCATTTTCATTATGTGTTTGTGAACTAAGACTCTGGTCTTCCCAATGATCTTTTTAAATCCAAGGCTCAACTATTTCATTGCATTGATCAGATGTTTCATATAAATATCACATATATCAAACTCAATTCATTCAAAACTGGATTCATAATGTTCCCACCCTATTCTAAAATACCACTGTGTCTTAGTAGAAAAGCCTTCTTATTAATTTTCCCGTGTTTACTCTTTCCTGCTGCTCTGATTTCCCCCCTCCCAAATCAACCCCGTTCTCTTTACTTTGTAAAACCCTTTAGAGATGTATAATAGCTATAAAAATGTATCCCTAAATCTTTACACAACTTGCAAAGTCCTGTATGATCTGGCTGTCTGCTTTCTCCATATGTATTGCCATTTCTTTTTAAAATTTTCTCTAGCGTTCTTACCTGTGGTGTATTTACACCAATCATGTTTTCAGAGTATTTAAAAATATTATTAACCCCCATTATCTACAAGTATAAAACCAGTTAGTACTGAAATTTAGGGTTTGAACACGCATGAGGAAAATAAAAATTCAGAATAGTATTAAAATACTAAAGTTGTACATATAGATGAAGTGTTCAGCAACAGAAATGACTCTGAAAAGGGTGGAATGAATCTTGCGTCATATGTGAAGTATAGCACCCAGGCATTTGAAATCAGTCAGCAAAAAAGTGATAAGATGGAATCACTTGAGTTTGTGGCTAAACATTATGTATACCCCATGTAAATATCAGATGACTAGTCAGGTATTGTAAATTTAGGAGAAGGTCAGTAATAATAATTTAATAATAGCACATACAACTCTTACTATATATCAGGCACTATCCAAAGTTCTTATATATTAACTCATTTAATTCTAACAGCACTAAGTACTTAGAGGTAGGTATCACTCACTGTGTCCTTATTTTACAGAGGGAAAAACTGAGGATCAGAGAAGGTAACTTGCCCTGAGTCACACAGCCAATAAGTGGTAGTGTGGAAATCCAAACTAAAGAAGCAGTTTGGCTCTAGTGTCATCACTCTAACCCATGTGCTGTGCTGCCTGCAGGTGATGTGAGAACTTAAAAGATAATCAAGATGAAATGTGTATCACAAATCATAAATGATCCCATAGGTGTTATGCTCTTTGAATACTATGCTTGAGTGTTTGTGACAGGGCAGCAAGCATGATACTCTAACTTCTGAGTTCTTTGTGGTATTTAGAATTTATCAAGGCTAGATAGACTTCCCTGGTGGCTCAGAGGTTAAAGCATCTGCCTACAATGCAGGAGACCTGGGTTCGATCCTTGGGTCAGAAAGATCTCCTGGAGAAGGAAATGGCAACCCACTCCAGTACTCTTGCCTGAAAAATCCTATGGACAGAGGAGCCTGGTAGGCTACAGTCCATGGGGTGACAAAGAGTCAGACACGACTAACTTCACTTTCACTTTCAAAGCTAGATAAAGAGTATTCACCTCAACAAACATTTAGTTTAAGTCTTACACCATAACCAGTCCATTTTGGAAAAGGCTACATATAAATCAGAATGAAGAAGAGGTATCTATCTAGTTGAAAAGCACTGAGAAGCTAATTCATCTTCCCTTTTGATGGCAGTGTGTCTAAAGGATGCAAGCTTAAGCTCCTCTTAATTATTTTGAGCTTATATTAAATGACCTACCCTATATTTGAAGCCCAACCTGTTTGTAGGAAGAGGAGTTTCAGTATCGTTCTGTAACTCATTTTTTTCACCTAACAATGCATTCTGAAAAAATTCAGGGTTTTTTTTTTTTGGACAACTGTGTTTAGTCATATGGATGTGCCTTGATTTAACTCATATGTGATTGATTTATCAGTATTAAGAGTGACTTTGTGGAATCAGTGTTTACTTTATTCCTGATTATAGAATACAGTCATCTCAGGACCACCCATGGGTTCTGCATCTGCAGAGCTCAGCTGCAGAGGGTTGACTGTGTATTGTGGACCATTTAATTCCCAATCACATATTTTGGTTAAGGCTCTTATTAAAGGATAGCAAATAAATGTCATGCAGACATTTATAGCTGTTTCCAGATCCTGTTATTTTGATCTCTGCACACTTATACTAGCAAAGCCATGATCAGCCTTAGGAGTTTTTCTGAGTTTTGCACTTGAGGCAGCCACTGTCAATCATTTGAAGTTACTGTTCCAGATGAAATATGTTTGTCAATACTCTGTCCTTTTTATATTTATTATAGCCACTCACTACTGGTTCACTAGCTATGTTTGGACTGTCAGTTTATTTCTGGGAAGCTTCAAAAAGCCACCCCTTTCAGTCCATACAGTTTCACGATCCTTCCAGTTGTTCTCAGTCTACTTCACTATCTTATAGTTGCATTAAGCTTAAGGTTTGATTAGACCTCCAATCCATAATCTCACTTAAACATAGTTTTTAAGTCATCATACTTCATCATATATTTTTATGGCTCAAAGTTGAACTAGCTTTGGAGAGCCATTGTTTTTTGGTATAATAATTAGTTTTTAAAAGCTTCATTTATTAGATGACAAGAAACCAAGCCTTTGCAAAATCTAGAAGAAATCACACTTTCTAACTTACGTGAATTAGCACTTGTAGTTCAATGAAATTAACAGTTTGTTCCCATTGCAATAGAGGTCCCCATTCATTTTTTTATTTCTGAGAGATACTACTGTAGATCCTACTAACACATGTACACTCAAATTCTTATCATTTACTACATGGCATCTTATTGTACATTGTTTTTTATACTAGGGTTTCGTGAAAAATCATAAGATGGACCAGAGAAGTAGAGTTCTGTTGGTTTTTGCTTGTGCATATATGGCGTACAACAGGAAAGAAAAAAAAATAACCTTCATAGAAGGAAAATTTCAAGCTACTTTTTTATCCCATATCTTTGAGTTAGTTTTATAGAAAGATGTGGCAAGTTTATCTGTACTTTAAATTTAGGGATTCGCAAAGTTTAGCATGCATCAGATCACTTGAAGGGTCTGTTACCACACAGATTGCTGGTCCCCACTCCCAGAATTACTGATTTTAGTGGGTCTGAGCTGAGTTGGGGCCCAAGAACTTCATTTCTCACAAGCTCCAAAGTCATGTTGATGCTCGCATAGGGACCACACTTGGGGAATCACAGGCTTAAATGGCCCCTCAGTCTCCTGATATTATTACATAACCCATTTTTAGAAGTGCAGAACTTAAGATTTTCCCTCTTTCTATCCTTGCCTCTATAGACTCTCATCTGGGGACTTCCCTGGTGGTTAAGACTGTGCTTCTACTACAGTTGGTGAGGGTTCGATCCTGGGAGGGGAACTAAGATCCCACACGTTGTGCATAGTGGCCAAAAAGGAAAAAAAAAAAGAGACTGTCATCTGAATTGGTTGGGAGGTTGTGAGGTTAGAAGTGGGGTGATGGTCAGTTTGGGAGAGAGTAAATAAAGGAGAAGAATGCTACATTTCATTAACCAGGCATTTCCTAGTGTTAAAAGGAAAGAGGTTGATAAATAATCCAGCTCTTGCCATTAAAGAGCAGTTTAATTATTGTTACTGGACAAGTGTCAAATCTGTCAATTGAATGTTTATATAGTGTGGGTATTCACAATTTAGAATTTTTTTTCCTTAACCTTAAATTATCTTGAATATAATCCACTGTGTATTTGGTATTAGAAATAAGTGAGTTTTGTTTGTTTTCCAGTTTGGTCTTTTTTTAATGTAGAAATTTTCAGATTGATAATTAGGTTTATAACCCTGAGTTTCTCTCTCATGAGATTTGACTTCTGTTCTCTCAAAGGATCTCTCAGAAAAATACTACATAAAAACAAGATGCTTTTCTGATAGTCTGTTTAAGTGCAATTTTGTACCTGTGTTTGATCTTCTTAAGGATTTACAGAGAATACTACAGTTGTCTTCATTGTATTATTTCCTTTTTTTCTTCTGGAAAGAAGGTAGTCAGGACTTGGGGAACTACCTTTTGTATCGGGAAAGTATTTCTCCTTAATTGAAATTTGAATTAATAAATTGTTTTTTGTATTGAATAACATGCCTAATTTTTTTGTTATTGCTAAACTTGTTTATGTATCGCTAGATAAACCATAATTACCATTCAACATACTGAATTAACAGCCCATTTTTTTTTCATGTTTGTTCTTAGTACACTCAGAAGAAGCCTTGTTTTTACTGGCAACCTGTTATTATCGCTCAGGAAAAGCATATAAAGCATATAGGCTTTTGAAAGGACACAGTTGTACTACACCGCAATGTAAATACCTGCTTGCAAAATGTTGTGTTGATCTCAGCAAGTAAGTTTCTAAATCTTTTCTACCTAATTTTGTTCTACTTAACTGTAGAATTCTCGAGAAAATTCTTTTGATGGATTAGACTCTGATTCCCTTTCTCCCCTCTTGGTAGTAGAGTTTTGTCTATTTCAGTAATTTTTGAAATGCTGCTGCCTATTATTTTGATATGGAGAGATTTTATTGTTATGGTATAAATAGAATTTAAATCTGGAGAAACCTAAGTTGTAACTAATTCCTTATGATTTTGTAAAATGATTGTAATAAGCCTGAAAACCTAACTTCCCAGTTCACCTGAGATTAATGCTGCCTTGTGTCTAGATAGTTGTGTAATTAGTTATTTGCCCTTCAAAATCATTCTTTTGGGGAACCATTACTCCTTTTAAGCAAGGGGACAGATTTAGGAGAACACTTCTTTGAAATATGACAGTACAACCAAGTCAGCTATCCATATTCTGAATCTGGAGGCAGCTAGAGATTTAGGTAGTTATGTTCTGTCAGACTTTTCTGTGCTGTGAAAAATGGAATAGTGGTAAAGGTGACTAAACAGGTAACTGTAAAGCCTGTCTGTTTAGTTTATAGGTATACAGTCAAAGGATACAAATAAACCCCATTTAGTTGATAGGTATACAGTGAAAGGATATAAATAAAGCTCATAAAGTCTCCATAGTCTGATAAGTATTTTATTTGTCCAGTGTCTAATTGATGACTTTTAAATTAAAGCTAAAATATATATATATAATTTATGAGACATTTGCTATTGAATTACTTCTACTCTGAAGATTCTAATGTTGAATTCTTTAAAATATACTTATTTAATTTGCCAGTTTCTTAAGCCAGTTCTTACATTAAATGTTCTTATCCCATTTATAAATATTTATAGTTTTAAAAAACTCCCACTGATAGTAAAAAAAAAAAAATCTTTAGATAGCACATTTTATGTTTAGGATATATAAGCTTACTTGCAAGTTTTCCACATGATGATTTGGAAAAAACTTTGAAACATGAACCATTACAAACTCTGTTATGCTAAAAATATATAGTGAAATCAGGCAAATTTTTTTCCCTTTGGGGAATATTTGTAATTTTTATATCAAGAACACATAATTGATAAAAAGAGATGAAGTGCTATTCACATTTCAGTTGTAAACCTAAAAATAACTGAGGCCATTAAGTATGCAATTTTTCATTAAAATGTTAATCTTGTTTAACCTGCTTGCAAATTCCTACTTCAAGGAATTATAGAACTAAGAAGGACCACCAAATCTGTTAATGAAGAGATGTTCATATTTTTCCCCCAGCATAACAGTCTTCCTTTTCTTTTGATGTGAGTAATGTGTACATTGCTCAGACTAGATTTGTACATATAGACTAAAGGTAACTATTTCTGTTCTTAAAGGGTAAGACTGAAATTTTAAGATGGTAAATTCCCAATCTCCCAAATGATTCTTAATACATGTTTATTGCTATTCTAAAGGTACCACGAACTTTTTACTTTATCTCCATAGTAAGAGGTTCATTGGTAATGAAGAATGTCTTTACACACTGTGTTTTTTATATTGACTTTTTAAAAAATCTGTGAATGTGTGTTTTAAAGGCTTGCAGAAGGGGAACAGATCTTATCTGGTGGAGTGTTTAATAAGCAGAAAAGCCATGATGATATTGTTACTGAGTTTGGTGATTCAGCTTGCTTTACTCTTTCATTGTTGGGACATGTATATTGGTAAGTAAAAATGATTCAAATGACCAGAGAATTGTTTCCAGTACTAGAATGAACTACCACTCAGCGATAAAGAGGAACAAACTTGATAAACATGATAATTTGGATGGATTTCAAGAGCATTATGGCGAGTGAAAAAAGGCCAATTTCAACAATTTGCATATTCTGTGATAGCATTAATAGAACATTATTGTTATGACACAATTACAGTGATAGAGACAGATCAGTGGTTCTCAGACATGAGAGTTGGGGCAAGAGTACTGGGGCTATAGAGAGGTGTAGCTAAAGGAGTTTGGGACTTTGGAACACTTCTATATCCTGATTGTAGTGGTCATTACCCAAATATATACATGTGATAAAACTTCATAAAAACTATACACAAATAAATGCATGTAAAAACTGCTGAAATCCAAATTAAATCTGTGGTTTAGTTTACCATATTATTGTGCTTAGTCGGTCAGTCTTGTCCGACTCTTTGCGACCCCATGGACTGCAGCCAGCCAGGCTCCTCTGTCCATGGGGATTCTACAGGCATGATATGGAGTGGGCTGGCTATCCTTTCTCCAGGGGATCTTCCCAACCCCAGGAATTGAACCAGAGTCTCCTGCATTGCAGATGGATTCTTTACCAGCTGAGCTACCAGGGAAACCCTTACTGTATTATACTACTATTAGTTTCCCAGCTTTGATAATTGTACTGTGTTTATGTTGAAAGCTATTATTAAGGGAAGCTGGGTATAGGAAATTCTGTACTATTTTTTCAACTTCTATGTGAGTCTAAAATTATATCAAAATAAAGTTTAATAAAATAAAGGGAAGGTGTTAAATCACAGAAATGCTGTATATGTATTACTAGTTATTTTAAAACAAGATCACTTGTTTAAAAGTTTTTGAAGGTACATTTGTATCAAGTTCTAACCATGAAGGAAGGTTTTTCCTCTTTTTCAGAGAAATATTTTTATTTATCATAAAGATTAAAAGTCAGGTATCCAATAGGGCACAACCCTGCTCCAGAAACTGGCTTTTCATTTCAACTGTCATATGCCTGTTGTGACCAAAGTTGCACCTGGTAATCTAGAAACATCCTTGTTATAGTTTTGAAGCTACAGCTTGTTAAGTTATCTTTTATCTCCAGTATTTTGATATAGACACTTCATTGGTCTTTTTGTCTACAGTAGCACATGAGACTTGCATCTTTAGGGCATGACTGATTCTAAGTCTGGTTCTTAGATTAACCTGTTTCTTCCCAGTGCCATTTAAATAGTTATTTTTAACCCCAATCCTTTGGAAAACTCCTTTCTGAGTTTTAGTTTTTAAAGAAATTCATCTTAAGTTGGGGCACTCCAGGCAGCTTAATTTTATTAAATCTTTTCCTCCTTTTATCTCTCTATTGAGTAATTATAGATCTGTCTCCCAGATGTGACTATTATAACTCTACATCTGGCTCCTTCCCCAGTTAATTTTTTTTTAATTGAAGGATAATTGCTTCACAGAATTTTGTTGTTTTCTGTCAAACCTCAACATGAATCAGCTATAGGTATACATATATCCCCTCCCTTCTGAATCTCCCTCCCCATCCCATCCCTCTAGCTTGATACAGAGCCCCTGTTTGAGTTTCCTGAGCCATACAGCAAATTCCCGTTCGCTATCTATTTTACATATGGTAATGTAAGTTTCCATGTTATTCTCTCCATACTTCTCACCTGCTCCTCCCCTCTCCTCATGTCTGTAAGTCTGTTCTCTATGTCTCTTTCTCCATTGCTGCCCTGCAAATAAACTCTTCAGTACCATTTTTCTAGATTCTGTATATATGCATTAGTATACGATATTTGTCTTTCTCTTTCTGACTTACTTTACTCTGTATAATAGGCTTTAGGTTCATCCACCTCATGAGAACTGACTCAAGTGTGTTCCTTTTTATGGCTGAGTAATATTCCATTGTGTATATGTACAACTTCTTTATCCATTTATCTGTTGATGGACATCTAGGTTAGCTCCATGTTCTAACTATTGTAAATAGTGCTGCAGTAAACAACAGGATAAATGTGTCTCTTTCAATTTTGGTTTCCTCAGGGTATATGCCTAGGAGTGGGATTGCTGGGTCACATGGTGGTTTTATTCCTAGTTTTCTAAGGAATCTCCATACCATCTTCCATAGTGACTGTATCAGTTTACCTTGAATGTAATTTAAATTATATTTAATGTATCAATTTACATTCCCACCAACAGTGCAAGAGCGGTCCCTTTTCTCCACACCCTCTCCAGCATTTGTTGTTGGTAGACTTTTTGATGATGACCTTTCTGACCAGTGTGAGGTGATATCTCATTGTAGTTTTGATTTGCCTTTCTCTAATAATGACTGATGTTGAGCATCTTTCATGTGTTTGTTGGCCATCTGTATGTCTTCTTTGGAGAAATGTCTGTTTAGGTCTTTTTCCCACTTCTTGATTAGGTTGTTTATTTTTCTGGTGTTGAGTTGTCCCAATTAACTTTTATATTATTTATACATACCAGTATCTATCCATGTGTGTGTATGTGTGTGTGTATCTAATCTCTTCTTAGTAGACATTTTGTTTTACATTTATTTTATGGTCTATTAATCAGATCATGAGAAATCTAGTTTTCTATTCTCAGAAAACTTATAATCAATTGTAAGAGAGCACATGAAAGATAAATAAATAGACAAGCCATACTTAGTTACATACATGGTGAGGGGCTGTATAACATGTTAGTTTTGGTATAATCTTCAAACATTGAGTTTTCACTGTATTTTTCTTTTCTGGACATACATTAAAAGTTCCCAAGCATTCATTTTCCACTTTCCATTCCTAATTTTTACCTTCCAAAAATACTCTTATGTCTTTGTTTCCTGTTTTTAAGTTACCCTGCTATACATGGTAAATGAATATATCATTCTTGTTACAATTATTTTTCCTTTAAGAAATTTCATCTAAGCAATCCTTAGATACAGACTTTGATAAAACTTATATTTTCTGAAAGTTTGTCTCCTTCCCGTTTCTGTGTCCGTGTGTTTATTGGGTCAAATTAGACAAATCTGGGAAGCTAAATAAGCTTCAACTAGTGGTACTTTCTTGTCTTTATTACATCATTTATTCTAGTTTCTACTCACTTGCAAAATTTGAAAGTAAGGCACATTAATATCTAGTTCCCCAAGGGGATCTTTTTTTCATTTCTCTGATGTATACTGACAGCACATAAACAGATTATGTGTTTTAACTGATAGTTTCATTTGAGGGTTGTTTTGAAAATCTTAGTTCAGTGCCATCTGGTCCTTTATAAAACCTTTATAAAATTGCTGTATTTTAATTTTTTTTCTTTAGATAATGAAGAATTTCAGTCTTAAACCAGATCAGTAGTATTTTTTAACCTGAAAGCTCTACAAGTCTTACTAACCCTCAACCTCATCTTCTCTCCCATTTAAAAGCTAGGGAGGCCACAGTGCTATTCTAATAATTTCTAGATTGTTTCAAGTATAAAGGGTCCTAAGAATGTTGTCCAAGTTTTTAATGTAAGCCTTTATATAACCAATTTAGAAAGAAACATGAATTTTCCTTTTTGTTAAGAGCTACCACCTCTACTTTGTTAAAATATCTTCTCATTTAAATATGCTATATTTAAAGCATTTAAGTCACTTTCAAAATTACCACTGGGATTTATATTTAAAATCAAGAATAAGACTGAAATATTTGCGTGTTTCCCATATCTCCTCATTAACTATAATGTCCAAAAGGAAATGAAAAGCAATTATAGTACCTAAGAAAGCAATGATTGTTTGTTTGTTTTGTTAACACGCCTTTTAGTTCATGTTCTGTTTTCTTTCACCTGATGTTTGACTTGAAATACCCTAAATAATAGAGATTGGAGGATGGTAAGAAGGAGAAGTTGATCATTTAAGGAAGAATTTAGAAGAGAATGCACAGAACTTACATAAGATTTACCTAATTTTCTATAACAAATTTTCTTTGTAATAGATGTTTTAGGTTTTATAGCTTGTCTGATCTATTTGTTTGTCTTTACAGCAAGACAGATCGGCTTGCCAAAGGATCAGAATGTTACCAAAAGAGCCTTAGTTTAAATCCTTTCCTCTGGTCCCCCTTTGAATCATTATGTGAAATAGGTAAGTTTGTAGAGGTGGTTAGGGGAGGGTTCTCCCATTTCTTCTTCACTTTTTTTTCCCCTTGCTTAATTTTTGCAAAGTGATACAAATTATATATCCACAAGACAAATATTTTTCAAAGCTAAAGGCTTTTAAACTTGAGAACAAGAAGTAAGGTAGAATCATGTTTCAGGAATAATGTGGCCTTTCTTGTGTCCTCAAGGAACGAGTTGTATTGTGAGTATAAAGTTAGCCAAAATAGCATTCTGGATAAGAAAAGAAATTAATAGAATACCCAGAGACCTGGATTATATGGGGTGGGGAGTTGTCACAGTATATATGCTCTAGGAGGCATGAAGGATCATTTTAAAATGTTGTGTCGATATACATGTAAGTGCTTAAAATTTTACGTTGATTTCTAGAAGGTTTCACCTCTCCACCCTCATTCCTTACCTTGAGCAAAATGAGGTCTAGTTGCTTTCTGCTTTAAAACACAGAAATCTGTACTTTCCTGTGATTTATTATATTTAAAGTCAGTTTCATTGTGGTTTAATTTATTTCCTAAATGTACAGCTTTATCTTTGGTGTACACTCTCACAGTACACTGATGGATGGGTTTTTGGGAGATAAATCTGATTCACTGAAATAGAACTTTAAAAATGCTTATGCATTTTTTTTTTTAATTTAACCTTCATTTCCTCAGAAGCAAATTTTTTTTTTCCCCCCTTCACAGGTGAAAAGCCAGATCCTGACCAAACATTTAAATTAACATCTTTACAGAACTTTAGCAGCTGTCTGCCCAACTCTTGCACAACACTAGTATCTAATCATAGTTTATCTCACAGACAGCCTGAGACAGTTCTTACAGAAACACCCCAGGACACAATTGTAAGTGTATTATACACTAGTGTTAAAAATATTGTGAAAATGAAAAACAGTGATCTGAGCTAAATAATATATTGTAAATGACATGGTAGAAATTTTCTGTTTCAGGAATTAAACAGACTGAATTTAGAATCTTCCAATTCAAAGTACTCATTGAATACAGATTCTTCAGTGTCTTATATTGATTCGGCTGTAATTTCACCAGATACTGTCCCTCTTGGAACAGGAACTTCCATATTATCTAAACAGGTTCAGAATAAACCAAAAACTGGTCGAAGTTTATTAGGAGGACCAGCTGCTCTTAGCCCGTTAACCCCAAGGTAAGACAAATAAAAGATACTTTAAAATGTGCTGTAATATTAAATGATCTTAGAATAATTCCTATATTAATGACAAATTAATGTGAACAACAACTTCTAAATCATTATGGAAATAGAGATATTTAATAAGTCAGTAATGAGTCTATTCCATTTTCAGAAGATGAAGTAGTAGAAATACAGTATCTGTGATAAGAATTTCATATTAAGTGTTGGAGAAAATTTTTAAATGTAATCATTCCTTATTAAGCTGTTGTATGCGTTAAAAGATACTCTGTTTATGACTATGCCTCAGTGAATAGCAATGAACCTCTTAAAACGTTGGGATGCTTATAGTCAGTGATAGCAATGGTTAAAGTGCTATATTCCAAAGTGGGAAAGGATTGACACCTACATATGAAATGTTTTGTGAAAATTTTTAGAAATATTTGTGTGTATAAATACTTGAACCCAGGCCAGAGGATGCATTTCCCAAAGAATCAAAATAAAAAATTATATGCTAGAACAGACTGTGAATTGGGTACCAGGGCCAGGGAATTACTTAAATAGTATGACCATGAGATTACAAAACTCACTGATTCCACAGATGCCTTCATTGGTCTCTAAGGACATTTTCTCTGTAATAGTGTCTAAATCACATAAATTCCAAGAATTTGATCTAATTTGATAATTTGGATCTTAGCTTTTACAAATCTACTCTTCTTTATTTTTAATAAATCTCCTGAGATTCATAGTTACTGCTCAGTTTAGTTCCTTATTTGATTTTTTTTTTTAATTTTAGTTTTGGTGGGTGGAATAGTCTATATTCACAGCTTATTTTTAATCTGCCCCTTAGATCCTCAATGTCCCCAAGACTGATTTGCCATTCTCTTCCTTTTAGACCTTCTAATTTAAGTATACTGCTGCTTTATATATGCCTTGATGACTTTTTGACACCTTGATTTCAACCTCTTCTCAGTTTTGGGATTTTGCCATTAGAAACCCCAAGTCCTGGAGATGGATCCTATTTACAAAACTACACTAATACATCTTCTGTAATTGACGTGCCACCCACCGGAGCCCCTTCAAAAAAGGTATTTTCCGTGTAAAATACAGTGAATTGCTGTTGCCTTAGAGAAGTTATCTAAATATAAAAGAAGGTAATCATTATCATAGCCTCCTGGTTATACTAAGAGACACAAAGCTGGTTGCTCTTTTGACCACGTAAGTTTGTAACTCACAAGTGTAGTTTATTTCAGCATATAGCTAATTAAGCATATTCAGATTTTTACTTTTAAGTTCCTTTTTTTAAAAAACAAAATTAAGATGATCACTTTGAATGTAAATAATGGAAATTATACCTGCCATGGTTTTTGCTTGTCCCCACCAGTATATTTGTTTTTTAGTTGTACTAATATTAACATGAAAAAAGATGACTCACATAAAGCTAGCTCTTTATGATCATAAAATTTTTATGGTGGATCCTCAGGTGTGGAGTAAAAGTGTAGTAAAATGAAAAATATTTCATAGTATCTTTATAGTAAATACTGGAACAAGATTGCATTGCAACTGTGGCTCTTTTTATAATGTTCTTTTACTGTCTGTGGCAGTAGAGGCCAAAGTGAGGCTCATTTAAAACCCATCTGTGGTGCGGGGTATCCTCTGTGAGAGTTAAATTAGGTTACATATGTAAATGCCTGTTGTTGTGCGTAATGAATATGTAAGAAATGAAAGCTAAATGAGTCATACTGGTATGCGAATGACTGAGAGAGCCCTTTTACCCTCAGAGAAACATGTTTCTTCTTGTTTTGTTTTTACTCTTTACTCCTGAACTTTAGCAAAGTTTTTTTTTATATGATAGCTTCTTAATGAGTGATAATAGGAACTCCCAAGAGTGGTAAACGTGGACTAAAAGTATTTAATATGGGGATTGTATTTTAAACTGGATTTTTTAAAAGTTGGCAACTACCTGCTGTTGTATTATTATGAGAGTGACATATATATGTGGAAATTAGTTTATTACCGTTAGAAGAAGGCATAGTAGGACAGTGGTTAGCATGCCAGGGGAAGTAGGCCAAAACCATGAGTCAGAGTGATTAAGGACAAGTTAGGCAGTGGACGCACATGCGATTTCACTGCCCAGTCTGAGCCTCTTCTTTCTGCCTCTGTTCTTTACTCTATTACAAGACATTCCTGGAAAAGCTACACTTCCAGATCTGCCTGCAGGATCACCTAAAAATATCAAACCAAGTAGTGAGTTCAGCAGATAGTTCTTTGTTAAATAAGGAAGGACCAGAAAATAGGTGAAAATATTCAGTGGATAGTTATAGAGGAAAGAATATGACCAAGTGATAGATACAATAATTAAAGGGTTAAAATGACCATGCTTTCCTAGAGAAAGAGAGAATTGCTAAGGAACTTAATTTAAAACAGTGGAAGAAGAAAGAAGGGCCAACAAATTAAGTGGTAGAACAAATAATCAAGATACTATACTAAATATTTTAGAAATTACACAAAGTTTCAGAAGGGCGAGGTGGGTGGGCATAATCAATGATGTTAAATGTTGAGAAGGCCAAAATAAGGCTTTTATATATGGTGAGAAAGTAATTATTTATAATGTGCAATTTCAGAATTATATACAGTGACTATCACAGTAACTAATTTTGGGAGAAATTTATTTGGTAGTAAAATGTTTTTTTCAGTATCCACTGACACAGAGATCACTTTATAAAAAAGTTAAGTGATGAAAATAAATAGAAATAAGGTGATAAATTAGAGAAGAGAGAAGGGGCAAGCACAGTTCAGAAGATTGAACACATCAAAAAGAAATACTAATTCAGTGCAATATTCTTAGAATTTGGAAAATAACCCAGTGATTTTTTTTTAACCTACTAATCTGAATTACTCTAAGACTGTCTTTATTAAGTGCCAAAGAAGGGATATAAAATCTTACTGTATTATTTTTTATGTATACTAAGTTAGATCATAAATCTTGAGGATAGTAGTTGTGTTAAAATTTTTTAGCACTTAGCCCCAACTGGGAAAGTTACATAATAAATGGCTTCTAGAAATCTTAAGCCTTTCCTTGATAACTAAAGTCGAAAGATAAAAGGATAGTATAAGGGTAAAAATACTGAGCTTAATATGGGGAAATAGGATGATGTTCATTCTAATATAACAATAATTAATTAACCTAAAATGACATCACTAATGACATTAATAGTTTGCGTTTTCAGATGACAGGCAATATATAGTATGAAATCTTGTATTAGAGAAATGTAGAGGGGTACATCATGATGTATTTTACCACTCAGAATGCAATTTATAATTCACAAACTTTAGACTTTTTGTGTTTTACAGTCTGTTGCCAGAATCGGCCAAACTGGAACAAAGTCTGTCTTCTCACAGAGTGGAAACAGTCGAGAGGTAACTCCAATTCTTGTTGCACAGACTCAGAGTTCTGGCCCACAAACAAGGTATTTATTTGGTCTCATTATTTGATATTGTTTAGCTTTTCTTGAGAAACAGTTCTTCAGTTTAGGCAGGTTTTGACTGTTCCAAGAATTCTAGAATGACTTGTAAATTTTGAATATGTTAAATTTGAAATTTCCAACTTACGAAAAAGCAAATTTAATTTTTGAGTATTACAATGCAAATCAAGACAAGAGTTAGCTAAAATACCTTTTTATTCTAGTTGCCTTGTGAGTTTGTTTAAACTAGATATTCTTAGCACTCCTCCAAAATAATTTTTTTTTAATGTAACCTTCTCCACTGGTCAAGTACAGATAGATTATTCTCCCCTTCCCCTATTATGCATTTCTATAAGTATATCATAGTATGACTCTTCCAATAAATCTTCAAATGATGAATCCATTTCCACACAGGAATGGTGTTAAATAGGATTTCTCTTCCTATTCAAGGCCTCGAAAATAAATTATAGCTGATATATTAAGAGAAAGCTACAACTTTACCTCCTAAAATAGTGAACATGTACCATAAGTCTTAAAATAGGTACACGTGTGCATATACCTTGACTATATAAAAGGCTTCAATATTTCTAAAATGCCCGGGTGGTAAATCTCATCATGAGTGCCAGCTCTCAGGTAGGTGGCAGTGATTGCCTCGGGCTCAGTGACAAGGAGCCTCCTGCAGAGCACATTAATAGGCCAAATATATGTTAGTCTTCAAGAGTATATAAACATAATTTACTGAATTATGCATTTTCTTTAAACAAATATACTAACCGTAATACACATGAATTACATTCATTTTGTCTTCTTTGTATTACTAGTTCCATTTTATCTTCTTTTCTTAGTTGCTGTATAGTTGATGTGCACCACTGTACCTTCTTTATTGCCTGTTTTAGGTTCTAACAGCTGCCCTAGCAAAGTACCACAAGCTGGGTGGCTTAAAACAACAGAAATGTATTCACTCACAGTTCTATCTGAAATCAAGGTATCTCTAGGGCCATACTTCCTCTGAAGTCACTAGGGGAGGATCCTTATCTCTTCCAGCTTCTGGTTGCCCCAGGCATTCCTTATTTTGTAGTAGGCAACTCAGTATTTCCCTCTGTCTCCACGTAGCCATCTTCCCTGTGTGCCTCTGTATTCGAATTTCCTTTTTCTTATTAGGACATCTGTCATATTGAATTAGCGCCCACCCTGATGGGCTAATCTTAACTTAATTACATCCGCAAAGACCCTATTTCCCAAAAAGTTCACATTAACAGTACTGGAGGTTAGGACTCCATCATATTCCTTTGAAAGACAGAGTTCAACCTATAGCATTGCTTTATTAACAATTACTCTTTATCTTGTCGTTTTAGAGGTTGTTTTAGGGTTTATATCACATATTTTAACTTATCAAAGTCTACCTTCAAGTAATCCTGTACCCTGTCACTTAAGAGTATAAACCTTGTAATGTATATTTTCCTACTCATCTTCTCAGTCTCTATGCTATTGTCATATATTTTACTTCTACAGAGTGATTAACATTTCCTGTAGTCTAGGTCTGTTGGTAATGAATTTTTTCAGCCTTTGTATGTTCAAAAGAAAGTTTTAATTTCACCTTTGTTTTTACTTCTGACTGATACTTTGATGGTATGGAATTCTGATTGACAGGTTTTTTTCTTTATATTGCTCTACTGTCTTCTTGCTTGGATTGTTTCTGATAAACCTCTTACCATCCTTATTTTTGTTTCTGTGTGTGTAATCTGTCTCTTTTCTTTGACTTGTTAAGATTTTTTTTCTTTATCATTGATATTAATCCATTTGATTATGCTCTAGGGTGTTTTCTCCTTTCTTGGGCTTCAAATTCATTAAGCTCCTTGGATCTGTTAGTTGATAGTTTTCATCAAATTTAGCTAATTTTTGGCCATTATTTCTTCAAATACTTTTACTGTCCATGTCCCCCTCTCTCAGTCTGCAGAATAATCCCTTGATGTGGCTGTTTGAACTTATAGGGTAATAACTTTTCAGGTATCAATTGTTCTAGTAATATTTATTTAGCAAATATCCCACATTTAGACTATGTCCAGCTTTCTTTTTCTTTAACTTGCTATAGTTCCAAATAAGGACTAAAGATAATTGGTTTATAGGTATTTACTATTTATTGACTCAGAACTTTTATGTGGATTGTTTTATGTTCAAATTAGCAATTTCAAATAGAGTGAAGATCTATGCTGTAATTTATATCATTTTATGGTAACAAGAATAGTTCTTTAAAAAGAGTTTTCATAGGGGGGTGAGGAAAGGATTGATCTCATCAGTTTTAGAATACAAACATGTTGAATGCATATTTTTAATATACTTGAAATAATAGTTAATGATCATAAACTGAGGTTTTTTTAAATGTCTACTTTTATAATTTTCTTAGTACAACACCTCAGGTATTGAGCCCCACTATCACATCTCCCCCAAATGCACTGCCTCGAAGAAGTTCACGACTTTTTACTAGTGACAGCTCTACAACCAAGGTAATTTAAAAATTTCTGTATGTCACATTTATTTAATACTTCCTCCTCTGAAATTTCTGTTCATCAATGACTCATTCTCTAATGAATACATTAGGAGACTATGTAAAATTTTTTTAATGTTAAAATTACAAAATTATAGAGATGGAGAGGAGATCAATAGTTACTAGGAGTTAGGACCGAGGGGAAGATGTGACTTTAATAGCATAGCACAAAGAAATTTCTTTTTGTAGTGGTAGAATAGTCCTGAATCTTTATTGTGGTAGTTGACTAAATAAATCCATACATGTAACATTTTCACAGAACTGGACACACGGAAATTTTTTAAAAGGTCCATGTGAAAACTGATGAAATCCAAGTAGGATCTATAGTTTTAGTTGCTAGTATTGGACCAATTCCAGTTTCCTGGATTTGATGGTATACTGTGGTTATGTCATGTGTTTCCATTGGGAAAGATTGTGGGAAGAGTGAATGAAAATTTTTTGTTTTCTTTGCCCATGTCTTTGGACAACTGGAGAGTTTTATACCTTTGGTAAATTTTCTTTATCCATTAACAGATATTATGGACAGTCTTTAATTGTGACATATATAGATCAGCAGTTTTATACCTTACAGATTTCAATGCTCTGAGACAATTAGGTAGTTGTTGTATCTCCTTACTTTCTTATTTTAATTAATAAATGAAAGTGATATACTTTGAATAAAGAGAAACGCTTAGAGCTAATGTACCTTAAATACTAGTTAGTTAATATGATTTATTTTCAGAATTGTTGCGTTTCAAATTAAGTGACTTTGAAGACTTTTGTTTTTATAAAATTTCTTCTGAGAAAAATATAGATCAGTCAAAACCATATGTTTATTTTATATCTAATACTTGAGAAAAAGGGTTAGATAGATGTTTAAAATACGTAAGTATAACAAGTATGGAATTTTCCTTCTTGTTACAGGAGAATAGCAAAAAATTAAAAATGAAGTTTCCACCTAAAATCCCAAATAGAAAAACAAAAAGTAAAACTAATAAAGGAGGAATAACTCAACCTAACATAAATGATAGCCTGGAAATCACAAAATTAGATTCTTCAATCATTTCAGAAGGAAAAATCTCTACAATTACACCTCAGATCCAGGCATTTAATCTACAGAAAGCAGCAGCAGGTCTGTTTTGAAAGCTTAAAATCTTCTTTATATTTTATTTTATTCACTTTTTTTAAGTAAGTTTATTTATGTTCATTAGCATTTTTTTCTGCGTAGATGTTGGAATTTTTTTTTCTTTTTTATTCACTTTGTTGTTCATTCATTTCTGGTTGTGGCTGTGCTGGGTCCTCGTTGCCGCTGTGTGGGCTTTTCTCAGGGACCACTCTAGTTGTGGGGCACGGGCTTCTCACTGCTGTGGCGTCTCCTGTTAGGAGCACAGGCTTTAGGTCTGTGGGCTCATGTAGTGCAGCTCCCAGGCTCCAGAGCTCCGGTTCAGTAGTTGTTGCGCACAGGCTTAGTCGCTCTGCGGCATGTGGGATCTTCCTGGACCAGATATTGAACCTGTGTCTCCTGAATTGGCAGGCAGATTCTTTTCCACTGGGCCACCAGGGAAGCCCAGTGTTGGAATGTTTAATGAAATATTTTTTAATTAGCCTTCCTAGAAAACCAGGCAGCTTTATTGTGTTTTTTTCCTTTGTTTACTACATTATTTTCTCCCAGAAGGTTTGATGAGCCTTCTTCGTGAAATGGGGAAAGGTTATTTAGCTTTGTGTTCATACAACTGCAAAGAAGCTATTAATATCTTGAGCCACCTACCTTCTCACCACTACAATACTGGTTGGGTGCTGTGCCAAATTGGAAGGGCCTATTTCGAACTTTCAGAGTACATGCAAGTAAGTATTTAAAAAGTTACATATGCCTTTCTAGAGATAATTTAAATTTAATTAAAATTATGTTTGAGAAGGCTAGATCTAAAGGGTCAATATTTATTATATAATGTCTTTATTTTGTCAATATTAATAACTTATCAGTGAAGTTCTTTCTTGTGTTAAGGGTAATTTGAATTCTTTGGGATTACTTGAGATAGATTTGTAGAGAACCAAAGTCATTCTTACATGGGACATTTGTACTGTACTTACTTGGATCTGAAAATATGTATTTACCATGTAATAGACGTTTATAATCAAAATTTTTATGCTATATAGAGAGCTTACTGGGATGAATTTTTGGCACTTAGTATGTTTTATAAAATTAATACAATGAAGAAAGTTGTAAGTAGTTGAGGATATAATGTTCTTATTGTAAGGTTTTAACATTTTAATTTTTAATTATATTTGTTGCTTAAGTTATCTGTTTAAATCAGGAAAGGAGAGGATGATTAACCTAAAGCCAAGAAAAATTCTAATTTACTCCCCAGTTGTTCTTTCAAAGCGCTTCCTCCCCCACCTCTAAACTTAAATTAGAAAAAGCTTTAAGAAACTTAATATAAATTATTTAAAGTTGATAATAAGATCACTTGTTTGCCCTTTTTACATTCAACATGTATTTGAGTGCATATTATATCCCAGACTCTGTTCTATACTGTACTATAGCTAGACAGATAATTGCTTGCCTTCATAGAGCTTACTAGCAAGTGTGCATGTGCTAAGTTGCTTCAGTTGTGTCTGACTCTTTGCAACCCTATGGACTGTAGCCTGCCAGGTTCCTCTGTCCATGAGATTCTCCAAGCAAGAGTACTGGAGTGGGTTGCCATGCCCTCCTCCAGGGGATCTTTCTGATCCAGGGATTGAACCCATGTCTCTTAAATCTGCTGCATTGGCAAGCAGGTTCTTCACCACTAGTGCAACCTGGGAAGCCCCTTTTCTAGTAAAAGAAATTATAAGCCAATAAATGTATAAGGACACGTAGCAATAAGTCATATGAAGGAAAAATGAAGCGTGGTAAGGAGATTGGGGAACAGTGGGGTATGGTGCTATTCTTTAAAAAAAACATGCTCAGAGAAAGAAGATTTTTGCTGCTTTAAGGAGCCATGCAGAGCTCTAGGGGTGTAGTATTCTTCCAGGTGAAGAATAAATCCAGAAGATACCTATTCTTATAATTTTGAGTAATAAAGAAAAAAGAGTTGTAGACAGCCTTTTTCATTACTGGATTGTTCTTTTTTTTAATTGGTACCTAGGTAGAAGTGGAGTTTGGCAAGCCTTTTCAAAATTATTTGTTTCATGGGTTCTTAACATGAATTTTTTCGTTACCCCTAATCATAGACCAGATGTAGACCCAGATATTTAAAGGAAATCTTTGTTTCAACTTAATTTTTTGTTTTGTTCCAATTTTCCTTTTTGTCTGTGGCATAATCATTTTTCAGAGGAAACAATAGATTCTGAAAAATTTTAAACCAGGTTTCTAAAACCTGTATTTGACAGGTGGTTAGGTCTGTTTTCTTGTAACCAGTGTGTGTTTGAAAAAATGAAAAACTTAATCTGTATAACTTTTAAGGAATTTCAGAGGAGTCACATCTAAGCTAATTCTAGATGGTGTATGACCATATCATAAAAATTCCTATTCTTACGGCCATATCTAAGCATTCCTATTTTTCTAGTTTTATGAATGCTATTTCCTTGTCATCTTCATTTCATTAAAAATAGACCTGATATTCCTTATTCAAAACTTTAAGTTTGACTTTCAGAATTTTTAATGAATTGGTAAACTGGGGAGCTAACTGGTTTCATGGAGCCCAAAATCTCCAGCTTCTGGGGAGAGAAGCAGTCTGGAAGCTGTGAGTGTGTAAGGGGAGGACTGTGACCCAGTGGCTGAGGAGGGGCCCGGAAGTCAGGGCGCTGCAGAAGCACAGGGGTGTGGATGAGGCAGGGCCTGTGCTTCCAGCGGGTGCAAGGCTGACGAGCGCGCAGGGCTCCGGGTGCCGTAGGGCTGGCAGCCACCCGCGCCTCTTTTTCCCCTGAAGTATTCAACTTGGCCTCCACTCATCTCTCACCTTTCCAGAGAGTTATTCTATAAAGCTGTTATAAAAACTTGGAATAGTGTTTTTTAAGATAAAATAATTGACTTCTTTTTAAATTTGTCTAGATCTTTCTTCTTTCTTTTTGGTGGAAACAATTCCACGCGCCCCCCCCCCCCCCGCCCCCCGCCCCGCCAGAATTTATGTTCCTTCCATGACTTGTGTATAAAAACTAGGTTAAGTATGAATATGATTGCATCAATATTTGACCTACCATAGAAGGTTACTCAGTTTGGCCATGTGTTGGTGCTAACTCACATAAAATTCACGTGTAAAATAAGGCAGCATTTAGGTCCTATGAGAACAGTGCCCAGCACTCTCCCAGTATATATGTAAATTGTATCAACTTGTTTTCCTCTTACTAATTTTTGTATTTCAGGCTGAAAGAATATTCTCAGAAGTTAGGAGAATTGAAAATTACAGAGTCGAAGGCATGGAGATCTACTCTACAACACTTTGGCATCTTCAAAAGGACGTTGCTCTTTCAGTTCTTTCAAAAGACTTAACAGATATGGATAAAAATTCACCAGAGGTAAATTAACTGAAGCAGTTTGTTCATGTTCTTTTTTCTTTTCCTTTTTTTGCTGCATCATCGTGGCTTGTGGGATTTTAGTTCCCCAACGAGGGATTGAACCCAGGCCCTCGACAGTAACAATGAGGAGTCCTAACCACTGGATCATCAGGGAAATCCCTGCAACTATTTTTTGATTGTCTTTACCAAATGAGAATGACCCAAATCATTAATTTAGTTTCACCCACGCTTATTTTTGCATTCTTCTCTATAGGCCGAGACTCAGAAGGAGAAATCCTAGAGTATGTGGTACAGATTCACAAATAGAGAAATCTTGAAGCATATATTTCATTCAGGATTAATCAAGATTTGGTTATACTTGCTGTTGTCACCAAGAGTAGAGTTCATTAAACAGAAATAGAGATTTTTAAAGTGCTCATTTTAAATAAAAATAATAATTTTAACTGTCATTTTAAGGCATAAGCAGTTTATTTACATGTTTCAGTCCTATAAGAGTTTTATTTCCTTGCATCTAAAGAATATTTAGTGGTCCTTTTGTAACATATTTAAGCTTAGAATTTAAGAGTCAGTTCTCATTATTCCTGGTAGTTACGTCTATAGTTTCCATGGACACTAAATTGACAAATACTGAACCATTACTCCTAGGAGAAATATACACACACATATCACACGTGGGTCCACCAGTGATCACCAAAGCACTGCAAGTATTGATTTTGGTTTTACAAGTTAATTTTAGAAAGTAGATTTGCAAATATGGAATGCTTGAATAATAAGGATTGACTATATTAAAGCTCTTCAATTGTTGTCTTTCTGTTCTACATAAGATCTGAGTCTTCACTTTAGTCATAGATTGCTTTTGTTAGAAAAAATAAGTCAAAATTTTAATTATGCATTTGGTTTTTGTTTCCTTTTTTTTTTTTTTTTAAAGGCCTGGTGTGCTGCAGGGAACTGTTTCAGTTTGCAGCGGGAACATGATATTGCAATTAAATTCTTCCAGAGAGCTATCCAGGTTGATCCAAATTATGCTTATGCCTATACTCTATTAGGGCACGAGTTTGTGTTAACTGAAGAATTAGACAAAGCATTAGCTTGTTTTCGAAATGCTATCAGAGTCAATCCTAGACATTATAATGCATGGTAAGTGCAAAGACAATGTCTTATTAATGGGGCTGGTACCCAGTAATTTTTCTTGTGAGATTATTTCTTTGTTGTCATGAATTTGTAGAATGGTACATACTGTTGGTAGCTTCTAACCTAAGTGGTTTTTTATGTGAAATTTATACCTTTAACAAACTCTTAACTAATGCCAATAGAATTCCAGATGCTTATATTGAAGTTTCTACTTTTTCTCCTACTAAACTTTTGCAAGTATTAATATCTGGTATTGTTACTTTGATTTGTTATTTTTTGTTAGAGCACTAAAATGGTGATGAAAATAGAGAATGGTTGGGACTGTGGAGAAGAACAGTATAATTTTCTCTATCATAATTATAATAACAGTATAATTCTTCTTTTCTATTATCCAATAGGTAATTTCTGCTGCCTTTTGGAAGATAGAAAATAAACATAGAAAACTATCCATTAGTTGTTGCTCTTTGGCAGATTTATTAAGTATTAGTTCTAGTTTATTAAGTTTATCAAGAATGTTCCAGTTTAAGTTATACCTGTTTTACTTTTTTATACTTGTGAGTAAGTAGATGAATAGGAAGGTTAATCTATTTATGATTGGGTTAATCATTATAGCAGTTTCTAAATCTGAAGCACTAGATTACTGAAATATATTTTTTGATTTGTATATGTGTTCTTTAATGAATTTTATCTCATTTCTAAGTTGTTACATTGCCTGAAAGATGGCCTGATGAGTACTAGCTTCTGCTGACCACTTAAACAGTCAAGCTTGCCAACATTCACATAAAGTTCTCTGTGATATTTTCAGAGCTCAGTTCTTTTTTTTTTTGTATTGGTGTTTATCTTTTTGGCTTACTTCACTCTGTATAATGGGCTCCAGTTTCATCCATCTCATTAGAACTGATTCAAATGAATTCTTTTTAATGGCTGAGTAATATTCCATTGTACCACAGCTCTTTTTTTTCCCCCATTTATTTTTATTAGTTGGAGGCTAATTACTTTACAATATTGTAGTGGGTTTTGTCATACATTGACATGAATCAGCCATGGATTTACATGTGTTCCCCATCCTGATCCCCCCTCCCACCTCCCTCTCCACCCGATCCCTCTGGGTCTTCCCAGTGCACCAGGCCCGAGCACTTGTCTTATGCATCCAACCTGGGCTGGTGATCTGTTTGACTATAGATAATATACATGTTTCGATGCTGTTCTCTCGAAACATCCCACCCTCGCCTTCTCCCACAGAGTCTAAAAGTCTGTTCTGTACATCTGTGTCTCTTTTTCTGTTTTGCATATAGGGTTATCATTACCATCTTTCTAAATTCCATATATATGTGTTAGTATGCTGTAATGTTCTTTATCTTTCTGGCTTACTTCACTCTGTATAATGGGCTCCAGTTTCATCCATCAGAGCTCAGTTCTTAATAGGACTTGAGTTGTTTCTTAAACGTGTAGTTATCTGTTCTGCCATATTTCAGTAGTTGCATTCTTAACAAAATTTACCGTATCAAAATTGTTATAAAAATAATTGTTGCAATTAAAGAAAAGGAGGTATATTCAGACTAGCAAGCTTTTACTGGAAAGACTTTCAATATTGAGTTATTCAGGTAACAGTTTTAACTAAGCAAATTTATTTTTCCAACTCCAAGGTGAGTAGTCTTTCTTTAGTTATCTCCATTTTCACCATTATTAGCACAGAACTTTTCATACCTTTTCTTGACCTCTAACACAATTATAATAATAAACAGTATACTGTTGTGCTTTTTTCTTAATCATTTGTTAACTATTCCCCTTCATTATTATCTAGTTTCACCCAGAGGGATCCTTAATGTAAATCAGTCACAATATATTTGATGTTTTGAAAATTCAGAAAACATACCTGTGTATCAACTTAATATACCATTGCATAGTCTTTAAGATGTATTAATTTTGATGTCTACATGAAGCCTTTAAAATTATAATTTTGAAGTCCATAAGTTTTGAAAGCTATAGGAGCATACTTTTGATACCGTGAGTGGGGGGAGGGGAAGCAGACCATGAATTATGCATACTTTAATCATAGTATAAAATATATATGCATTTGGACAAATAATATGGGAGTAGCATTATTAGGAGTTTAGGGTCTAGAATCATCAAGGGAGGATCTGAATAGAATCCTTGTGTGTGTGTTTAGTCACTAAGTCATGTCTGACTCTTCACTACCCTGTGGACTGTATGTAGCCCACCAGGCTCCTCTGTCCATGAGTTTTCCAGACAAAAATACTAGAGTGGATTGCCATTTCCTCCTCCAGGGGAATCTTTCTAACCCAGGGATCAACCCTAGGTCTCTTGCAGCTCCTGTATTGCAGGCTGATTCTTTACCCACCTTTATTAGCTGTATAACTTTGAGCAAGTTATTTAACTTCTCTAAGCTTTAGTTTCTTTATTTTAAAATATGATTGATAACAGTACCTATCTCCTTGGTTCCATCTAGGATTAAATAAAGTAAATCAAACAAAGAATTTAATTATCGGCAAACACATGATAATCGCTCAGTAAAAATTAGCTATTAAATCTAGATTGTAGTGGTAGATCTAAGGATGTGGTTTCTTTTTTTCTAGTTATTATAGTTTTATTTGATTTATTGTTTGATTGACTGGATTGTTTTTACTTATAAAAGTGACTTGTCTAAAACACTTGGGCAGTTTTTTATCATAACAGATTTTGCCTACCCTAAGACCATCAGTATTTTTCTACTGGTTTATTAAAATGCCACATTCCATACATATCCCTTTATTAGTTAAACTAAATTAGCATTTCACATCCTTAAAATTGTATTTTATTTTTAAACTCTCAGGTATGGTTTAGGAATGATTTATTACAAGCAAGAAAAATTCAGCCTTGCAGAAATGCATTTCCAGAAAGCACTTGACATCAACCCTCAAAGTTCAGTTTTGCTTTGCCACATTGGAGTAGTAAGTAGCTTTCTAAGTATTGTTCAGTTAATCCCTTTTGGAATGTTATTGGCTTAATTGCTGTAATGAAAATTGGGGTTTTTTGTTATTGTTATTCTTGAAACAATATCCTGGATTCTTTTACAGCCAAAAATATCACCTTTTTGCTTGGCATAAAGAGAAATCACTGGAGTACCCTCATTGCTTGGGCAAGTTACTTAATTTCTCTGAGCTTCTATTTTGTGAATGACAAATAATACCATCTTGCCTAGCTCATAGGGTTATTATAACACTCATATGAGATACTTGATATTTTTGAAAGCAGTTTTCCATGTTAATATTTAGCTCCTAAATTAAGTAATTAATAATTTAAGGCAAATGATTGCCTGTATTTTAGCCTCTGAGTGGTATAGATATGTTAGAACTAATTAAAATTCTTATAAAGTGGTTAGAATGGTCAATTTTATGTTTATATATTTTTTTACTGTATGTGATAATAAGTTGTGCTTTGATAGGATAAGAGAACGGGTATTTTTGTTTTGTATTGTTTTTGTATGTTTGTTTTTTAAAATCTTAATTTACTAATTTCTCTGAAAGCTTGGAACTTTTTTTTTTTTTCTGAACATTTTTTAAGTTCTTGTTCTTGTCCTTTCACCTTTCTCCCCTCTCCCTCTTTTCCTCCCTCTTTTCTTTCTCTTTGCAAGTTTGACTTTTGTGGGAACAAGCATACAGTATAAGGAAAATGATATGAGTTTGGAATTTCGCTTTTCATTTTGGGGGCAGAATTCTAGCTCTTTATAATGATTTTCTTAAGAATTGACATGGTAACTTTTACAGTTAGATACTGTACAAAAGATATAGGGAAAATACATCAAAGATTTTTTTTGTCACTTTACTTAAACCAAACTTGAGTATCTCTTGCTACCTTTTAGTGAAGTTGAACATTTTTAAAGCAGACTTTCTTAAAGGCCATAGTCAAGCATTGTGTAATCTGTGGGTTCTAAGAACTGGAAAGGTTACTTCTCTGCTATAGTTTCCCTGTTTTTATTTTTTTGTCTTTTTGAGTATAGTTGATTTACAGTGTTGTGTTAGTTTCAGAGTTTCAGCAAGGTGATTCAGTATGTATACATATGTATTCATTTTCAGATTTCTTTCCCATTATAGGTTATTATGAGATATTGAATATAGTTCCCTGTGCTATATAGTAGGTCCTTATTGTTCATGTATTTTTTATATAATTGTCTGTATCTGTTAATCCTAAATTCCTTATTTATTCCTCCTTCACCCCCCTTTCCCCTTTTGTAACCGTCAGTTTGTTTTCTATGTCTCTGAGCCTGTTGAAATTTATTTTTAATATATAATCTAAGAATGAACATAGCAATGTCAGTACACATGAATAAATAATGAGACTTGGTTGGGTTTGCTTTTGTTTCTTTTTTTTAAGTTATTTGAAATAAATTACTTACTACCCAGAATTACAGATCAATGGTTTTCAGATATGTAAAGCAGAAGATTTATTTTTAAAGCAAATTCCTCAAATAGGTAAAAGTGTAATTGTTCTGAGTAAAACAAGATTGGTAAGTTTCAGAGCCAAAACCCCTAGGGGTTCTTGAAAAATTTTGAGAAGTCTAATATTTAGAGGGCCATAATAAGTCTGTTAAAATGTATTATCTAACAAAATAGTACAGATTTTCTTGTGAAGAAAGACTAGGGTTTTTCTTGTCTTTTAGGCTTAAAGGTAACCAAATATCTACTCTAAAGATAGAATCTTGATTATCATTATGGAGAGTAATGGTGAATTGGGAGCTGTGTTGTTTTTGAGTCACACTATTTGGTTTTTACCTTTTCTCATAAATATCAAAAGGAAACATTAATAGGATCTTTATTTCTTATAGGTTCAGCATGCACTGAAAAAATCTGAGAAGGCTTTGGATACCCTAAACAAAGCCATTGTTATTGATCCTAAGAACCCTCTATGCAAATTTCACAGAGCCTCAGTTTTATTTGCAAATGAAAAATATAAGGTAAGATATATATATATATATATATAATATATGTATCTTAACAGTCTTCAGCATAGTACTATTTAAGCTTTGCCACTTTTTAAATAAAGTTATTTATACATGAATTTTTATCTTAAATAGTTTATTTCCCCACTTTTAAAAGCTATTTCTTTTTTTGCCTGTATTTCTTCATGAAATACTCACAGGAAGGATGGGTCAGACACCAGGAATATAGTGGCAAATGAAGCAACCATATTTCCTGCCCTTGAATAGCTTACCATCTAGTACTCCCCTAGAGGGAGAGTTAATCACTCAGTTGTGTCCAACTCTTTGTGACCCCATGGAGTCTTGCTCTGATTTATGAAGAAGTGGATGTCTGATCTTACTGTTCTGCCTTTTACAATGTCCTTTAAATCTAATAAACATTTAACAATTTTTAACTTGCTCTTTGAAGTGTACCATAGTTATAATTCAGCACTTGTTTTCCTGTTTTTGCTTCATTGTACAAAATTTTAAAAGTTTTTATTTAATCTGCTATGTGGTCAGGTTCTTCAGTTGAAGGATTTTATTTATTAATCTTAAAGGCATAAGCCACCTCACCTACCAGGAATGCCATGTAAATCAAGCCTATATTGCTTCAAGAAACCCATGTTCTAATCTGACCCATTGTCCAGGCCAAAATGGTTATAGTCACTTTTGAGTACCAGCTTGGGGCTCAGCCAGATTATCAGGCTTACTTTGATACATGATTTAGGTGTAGGTTAGAAAGGGGGCATAAGAAAAGTTGCTGACTGCTTCTGCAATGTCTTGCCTCCGAAATGAAAATCAAACTGTGTTAAGAATTGTGTATGTTTTCAGTGAATTTGAGTGAATTCCTGCCATTTTCTTCTTGTTGTAATAAGTATTTTTCTTGCATTTTCACAAGGATTAATGAAGCAAGGTAGTACTTTGATTAAGATCTAATAAGGTTTAGTTAAGATGATTTGGGAAATTAAATAAAATCACTTGCTTAATCAGAACTATAAAAATTGTGCTACTGTGTTTTTCTTTGCTTTTTTCAGTCTGCTTTACAAGAACTTGAAGAATTGAAACAAATTGTTCCCAAAGAATCCCTCGTTTACTTCTTAATAGGAAAGGTAAAGATTGGGGCCCTGGTTCTAAACTCTATCATAACAGATACTAACTTTTGAAAAATAAATATAATGTTTTATTGTGCACCATCTATTGAGCAAATTCAGCTAGATTTCTGAACTATATACTTTGGAAATAAATCATGGATTTAGTTTTTATTAACAGGTAAGAACGTGATAGATATCCTAATGGAGAAGCAGGAGCACACACCCTGTCATCTTTCTGTAGTTTGGCAGTGTATCAGCACTTGCAGTCCAGTGACTGATACTGAGTTCATAATTGAGACTACCTCAAGGAAAGCCCTTAGTTTCCAGTTATCAATAAAATACTCAAACGTCTCCCAAAAGAAGAAAAATAATACTGCAGTATTGTCTTAGTTCAAAAAAAAATGGCTTGCAGAATTTCTGAAGCAAGACTGCTGCTGCTAAGTCACTTCAGTCGTGTCCAACTCTGTGCGACCTCATAGACGGCAGCCCACCAGGCTCCCCCATCCCTGGGATTCTCCAGGCAAGAATACTGGAGTGGGTTGCCGTTTCCTTCTCCAGTAGAGGCAAGACTAGTCAGGACTTTAGACACTGGGTCCCCAGAAGCCAGTTGGTTAAAGTAACTGAGGATGAAGGACCGTGGTGAGAGTTGCTTTGTATGTATGGTTACCACATGCTCAGTTGTATATGACTCTTTGTGACCTTTGGACTGTAGCTAGCCAGGCTTCTCTGTCCATGGGATTTTTCAGACAAGGATACTGGAGTGGGTTGCCATTTCCTCCTCCAGGGGAATCTTCCTGACCCAGGGATCGAACCTGTGTCTCCTGTGACTTCTACGTTGCAGGTGGATTCTTTACCACTGAGCCATCAGGGGAGAGTTGTTATAACTCCATTTAAAATCAGTGTAAATGAGTACTAATCAAGCAATTTATAGTCCACTGTCATTGTTGCACAGAGTGAGATGTGTTGGAAGCTCAGTACTTGAGAGATACAGGCAAGGAATTCTGAAAATAATACCTGAATATATTAAAAGGAACTCAAAAGTTGGTATGAATTCTTCTATAGGATGAAAATGTCCTACTCTTCAGAATGAACTTATAACACATTAGTCAGGAACCTAATTTAAATTTAAAATGTTTAAGATTTTATAGATGAAGCTTACAACTTAATGAAAAATGTAGTGCTGCTGTTTATTTTTAGGTTTACAAGAAGTTAGGTCAAACGCACCTCGCCCTGATGAATTTCTCTTGGGCTATGGATTTAGATCCTAAAGGAGCCAATAACCAGATTAAAGAGGCAATTGATAAACGCTATCTTCCAGATGATGAAGAGCCAATAACCCAAGAAGAACAGATTAGTGAGTATCATCCATATGACTTAGGTCTATATGTGATTATTCAAACCAGAAAGCTAGTGAAACACTGTATCAGAGGAAACAGATACTTCTTTATGGCACAGAATAAAGTGGAAAATTTTTTGAATATTCAGAAAGCTGCCTTTTGCATAAGAATTTTATTTCTAAAAACAGTAGATTTTTATACCAAATGAAATTTTAGGGAAATTGAACAGGGTAATATAACAACAGTGTGCATATGGAGCCAGGTAACTAGTTTCAGTTCTGAATCTAGTTTGCTGTGTGATTTTGACAAATCCATTGCTGATTTTTACCTGAACTTCAATCTATGTAACTAATGCCATGCTTATCTGCTTCCTAGGAATGTGGTAGGGGGAGAAAAGATGATAGGTGTGACTATGTTGAAAACATTTTTTAAGTGCTAAGTGAATGAATAATAAATTTGTGCACATTTTAAAGTATTGAAAGATCTGTAGTAGTGGCTGTTCACATTCTGTGTAACTCTCACATATGTGGAATCTAAATATTGTACATCTGAAACTAATATAATATTGTAAGTCAGCTATACATCAGTTAATTAAAAGGCAGATAAATATGAATTGAGAGACCTCTGATGAGATAAACTAAGAAGCCTTTGTTCCAGAAATATATTTATATTTTTGTGAACTAACAGGGACTATCCCCAAAGTGAAGTCAACAGCTGGGTGGAATGTCAGTCTTTTTCAGTGTCTTAGAGGATAGTTCTAATTCTCAGGTTGAGTGTGTGCTAAGTTGCTTCAGTGTGTCCAACTCTTTGCGACCCTCTGGACTGTAGCCCGCAAGGCTCCCCTGTCTGTGGGATCCTCCGGGTAAGAATGCTGGTGTGGGTTGCTGTGCCCTCCTCCAGGGGATCTTCCCCACCCAGAGATCAAAGCCACATCTCTTAAGTCTCCTGCATTGGCAGTCTGGTTCTTCACCACAAGCACCACCTGGAAAGCCCAATTCTTAGGTTAGGGAGTAAGAAATTAGGGAGAGGCAGTTTTAGTAGTTAAACTCTGAATGGTTAAATGCAATAAAATACTCAGACATGCTATAAAATAAGGAACTTGAATTGCATTTTATTGAAGGATATCAGGATTTTTAAGGGCTTTTGTTTAAGGTCTTATCTCTCTGAATATAATAGTTTTCTTTACTTATTTTCATGAACTAAAAAAAAATATTTTTCAGATACCTTACTGTAGACTTTTTTTTATTTTTGAAGTGGGAACAGATGAATCCCAGGAGAGCAGCATGACCGATGCGGATGACACACAACTTCATGCAGCTGAAAGTGATGAATTTTAACTTCTGGAAATCAGACCTCTGCAACTGGATGTGTGACTTGTGCTGACATGTTTCTTGTCCTTCCATATACTGAGTCTTCACTCTTGAGCCAGCAATGTCATCATCCATCACTTATATCCTGAGTGTGCCACTTTCATTGGACCCTGACTGTACACAGAATGAAAGGCAGTGCAATATTTAGCTGCTAACAAGACTGGCTCTTTCACCAGTATGAATGACAATTTAGAGGGGATAGGGTGGGAAACTTTCTTTTTCTTTCTTTATTTTTTTTTTTCTTTAATCTCCCTTTGTTGGAAAGCTATCATGGAAGGAAGAGTTATGTTTTATCCTGAAGGAACCATTAGATATGGAAAATAGTGATGAACCAGAATCTCTTGGTCGTTTTTCCAAAAATTTGTTTTTACTTGGTTCTGTTCCTGATAAACAAAGTGACTGACCTTCATTTCTAGGTTCTTCAAGAATGGTGTTAGCAAGTGCCAGATGGAACAATAAAAGACATTGCCTATAACAGAGTAACCTGATTGCCAAGGAATGTAAATTAAACTTCAGTGTCTCCCATAAACAAATATAATGAGCATATAGGGACTCATATGTAGGAATCAATATTCCTCCATACAGTGTACACTTATTCTTGGCAAGAATACTTTAATGTCTAACCAAGAATTTTAATTTATTCATCTTGCCTCAAAGTGTTGATCATTGTTATCTTGGTATTACAAACTTTAAAATTGGTCCTTAACATTTTTCCTCTTCTCTTTGAGCTCTGTGGGATCACCTTTAATTTTCAGAGATGATAGAGGGGTTGCCCACTGAAAAGCCAAAACAAGGCTCTTAATAACAATATAAGTTCACCAGAAGAATCAAATGAGAACACTAAATGGAAAGACTTTAAGAGATCATGATAGTGAAAGCCTTAATACAATCAGAATCCTACCATAACCTTGAATTTATATTTGTTCAAGACAGGTATCCCTTAGACTTTCCTTAAGTGTTTAAGCAAGGTGCAAGAAAGTGTGGTTACCTTTGGTGAGGTCATTTCCATTCTTTTCTGCTCTGCTTCAGATTATTTCCAGTAGTGTGAGCCACCAAAACATGTACTGGGAGTGATTGGGTTTAGAACATTAGAAATGTTTAGCTGCAAAAATAAAAAACCACCTACTCTTATGAAGGAGACAAGTTCTCTCTTGAGTTTATCATAATATAGATTGATGTCTTTGGGGAATGACCACAGTTTTAAAGATCTAATTATGCATAATAAAATGGGAATTATTGGAATTTCACAGTAACTGATTTAAAGTTTTAAATTGTGTATCTCCTTTATTGTAATGTTTGAAATTTTTAGAGAAACTTTAGTTGTTAACATTTTATTGAGTGCCAATATCAGAATATAACAAATTTATAGTTTCTTACAAATGACAGGCCTACAGTTATTGTTGTGGATTATTTAATGAAGGACGAACTTATCTACTGGTTACCTGTATTTTGTTAGTCAAGCTGTGAAAATAAGATGGATTACAGAAGATGTGGAGAAATTTTAGCCCGTAGTCTCAGTAATTTTCTATCATTTACTATTAATCTGCTTATTTGAATACAGATTAAATTGCATTATAAACTAATTCAAGTTAGAGTGTTAGGTTGGGTATTGGGGTGCCAGAGAGGTATTTAACAAAATTTCCTACCTAAATCTGTTTATGTGCTGCCTAAAAAAATAATTTATAAGAAAAAGGACTAAACAAAAAAAAAGAAAAAGGAAAGATTGGGAGTAAATGAATATCAGTAAGGATTCCCCAAGGCTAGCACTTGAATTCTAACAAATATTCCATTTTATTATCAATTAGTTCTGTAATATTTAATTTTATATTCTTTTATTTTTTTTAATTGGCAAATCATAAGCCAGCTGTATAACAGTATCAAATATAGAGTTTCATAGAAAACTTTGATCTGAGCTCTTTGTTACAGAGCTTGGAGAAAGCTATGCTCAGAAAACAATTTGCTGATGTATAATTAGTTATGTTGTGTAGTAGGAATTTATGTCCTGTGCCAGAAGTAAGTCTTTCTGGTACTAATTTTGAGACCAAGAATAAAAGGATAGTTGTGGGAGGCACAGCATGGAGATGGTTGGTTGATTGATAATCAGCCCAGGATTGATCTGATTGCATTTTCCTCACACCTCTACTTTCAAAGTCATTTAGCTGTTGGAAGCATTTCCTCCCTACTTACTGTTTCTGGCTTTCTCTTCTTTCTTTTTTGTGTAGTATGGGGATCAAATAACCAGAAGAAGATACGCATTTTAATCAAGTGAAATGTTTGCTTCAAATTTCAGAAGTATTTTGAAGGAAATCAGAAATACTAAGTACTTCAACATCATTTTTTCTCTTTAAGCCTTTCACACGTGTGTATACACACACACACACTTGTTCAGAAGTTATGTTGTGGCATTGGATATTTTTCCCCCTTGGAAATGGTTCTTAACTCTGGGATTTTAGAAGATTGGAAATATTTTTTCAAGAGAACAAAGGTACTCAAAATAATGAAAGGTGATCCTACTTTTTCTGTATTTCATTACTTTGAAATTTTTATTTTTTTCCAAGAACTGCAAGTAATATTTGAACCATGCTGCTGTTGTACCTTAAACAAAAACTCAGTGATAACCAGTATTTAGTCTATTAAAAATGCTCTTTTTGAAGAAAAAAGTTTGCAAGTCTCTGTTTAGCCAGAGTTTAGTATGGGCCTTCAAGAGAAATATGGTGACCTGTTTTCTTTGTGAAAACCCGGGAAAATGCAAGTGTGGGTGTGATGTGTGTGTTATATATGCATTGAAACAATGTAATTTTGTGTCTTCTTTTTTTGCTTTTCCTGACTTATTTCAGAAATTGTACAGTCTTTGGGGGGGGGGGTAAAGTCTTTTCTGTTAATATATTTGCAATTCATTAAAGGATATGGAAAATCCAAATAAATTACTTTTGAAAGCAATTCATAATCAAGTCATTAAAGCTATATCAGAGCTGTGCCACCTGTATTTTGATAGTGAAGCACAGCAAAATAGTGAAAGATAGTTTTATGTTCCACAGAAGTCTAGAGCAATGCTTCTCTTTTTTTTTACCTACACTGTCATCTAAAATATATATTTATTTATTTTAAAACTCACACCTTTTTTAGTATTATTTGGAATTTCAAAATAAATATCATGACAAAAATTGGTAACTTTAGAATGTATTTTTCCCAAACTACAAAAGCCCCTTGCCAGCAGCTGCTATTTTGCAAGTCAACTGCTTATTTCTCAATTGTGTGATTTCTGAAATTCCTTTAAAAGGACACAAAGCTCTTTTCTAATTAGAATCCATTTTAAATACCAAGATCTGAAAGAAGTAGAGTATAGTAGAATATAGAGAGCAAATTTTACTCTAGCTTGATCTTATAGAGGGCTGAAGGGTTTTGCTCAGACTTGAAGAAGGGGTTGCGGTAGGGAAAAAGACATAAAGTGAGGTGTGCTGGGCATATTAGGGGATGACTCAGACCACAACCGTCCCTAGGACTGGTCATTTGCTGTCAGTAGGACAGGGATAACTAGAAGTCTAAGTAGGAAGTATTCTTTGGTTTGTTTAGCCTGTAATTAACGGTTTTGTGAAGGTTCAGAAATGCAAACTTTGCTAAACAGCCGTGTTTAGTGAGTTCTTGTCGTGTGTCCTGTTTTACTTGCCTTGTGTACAATATTTTCAGTCCTCAACCCTATACGGTAAGTGCTACTCGATTTTACAAAAGAAAATGACTCTCAGCTATTCAGTGGCAGAGCTGGACACTTGACTTTAGTATATCTTCAGAACATTTAGTTTTGGACTTCTCTGGCAGTTTGAGATCATGTCTAATGTTAATTGTCAAGTGTCCTCCCTAGCATTTTGAAATTGAGTATCAGAAGTTCCGGTTTTACAGAGGTTACTTTATTACTAGCCATAGATTAAGATCTGTTAAATGTTTAATCCTTTGATCAGGCTTTGATATATGTATATCCTGTCTCTGTACTTATTACACTGAAATTGAAAGCAGTGTCCCTTTCTTGAGTGACTAGAATTTGCTTTAAAGTAGAAAATTTTAAATCCTCAATTTTCTTTCCATTCTGAATTATCAGTTTCCCCTAACACAAGCATTCTTTTTATTCAACACCCTGAAGATGGAATTTTCAGTTTGGGGCTAAAAGCTGTATTTGAGAAGAAAATCCAAACGCATAATGCTTCACTGGAATTAGAATAAGAAATGAGTAAGCAATGGAGCAAAGAAGAACAATGAAGTAGAATTAAGGTTTCTAATCGTTTATTTTTAAAAAGCACTAAGCTGACATCTAGGAAGTGTAGACTTTGCCCCTTAGTTGCTGTGTGACCCTGAACAATTAAACCTTTTTTTCTCATCACTTTAATCATGATTGGGTGCTAAAATTTATGTCTGATAAGAAAAGAGACTCCTAGGGCTGGAAAACAATGATACTTAACTGATGACAAATCTGTCCATCTCCCAAAACAACCATTAAATCAAGTAAAACAAAACTATACAGGGTTCATGCCTTCTTATTAAGAAAATACTGTAACTTCAAATTACCTGTAAGAAGAGAAAGATTTCCTGTAGGGATCCTGCTATCACCATAAGCCTATGATTGTAGAGCAAGAGAGTGGTGGGTGGGGTGCTAAGTCACTTCAGTCATATCCAACTCTTTGCCACCCTATGGACTGTAGCCTGCCAGGCTCCTCTGTCCATGGGATTCTCAAGGCAAAAATACTGGAGTGGGTTGCCATGCCCTCCTACAGGAGATCTTCCTGGCCCAGGGATTAAACCTATGTCATGTCTCCTGCACTGGCAGGTGGGTTCTTTACAACCAGTGCCACCTGGTAACCACTGTTTAATAACAGTTTCAATTTGCATAAAAGCATGGATACATCCTTGGAAGAAGATCTATGATAAACCTAGACATCATAAGAAAAAGCAGAGACATCACTTTGCCAAGAAAGGTC